GATGGACAGAATATTTTTCCTGGATACTTGAATTGATAATTTAAAAGCCAGTCAGGAGGTATATAGTTGTTCTTAACAAAGAAATATCCAAGGTATGCCAAGAACACAGAAGACCCAATATCAGCAACCAAATATCAGAAACTCTAATATCAAAGAACAGAGGATTTGAAATAGGCAGGCCTGGAACCTCCACTCTATTATCTATAATAGGTGGTAATGGTATATGATGTCACAGAGTTCCTTAGTAGTCAAATAAGAAATAAATAAAAAGTAAATTTATAGCATTTAGGACACAGCAAACCTTAACATAGTGAAGTTTCTCTGCTATTATAAACTTTTCTCCCAAAACTGTATCCTTCTTAGTGTCTATGATCACATAAATATATCTAACTATATCTATGTACCCTTTTTTCTTTTTTATTAATTTTTTAAAAATTTATATATGACAGTGGAATGCATTACAATTCTTATTATATATATAGAGAGAGCACAATTTTTCATATCTCTGGCTAAATATAATGTATTTTCACACCAATTTGTGTCTTCATACAGGTACTTTGGATAATAATGCCCATCACATTCCACCATTATTTCTAACCCCATACCTCTTTCCTCCCCTCCCACTCCTCTGCCACATCTAGAGTTCATCTATTTTTCCCACACTCCCCCTCTCTACCCCACTATGAATCAGCCTCCTTATATCAGAGAAAACATTCGGAATTTGTTTTTTTGGGACTGGCTAACTTCACTTAGCAATTATCTTCTCTAACTCCATTCATTTACCTGCCAATGCCATGATTTTATTATCTTTTATTGCTGAGTAATATTCCATTGTGTATATATGCCACATTTTAATCCATTCATCTATTGAAGGGCATCTAGGTCCATTCCACAGTTTAGCTATTGTTAATTGTGCTGCTATAAACTTTGATGTGGCTAATATCTATGTATCCTTAAGTACAGTTATTATGTATATTCAAAGTCACTCCATTATTGTATTTTACTTTCAAGTAATTATATGTTTCCTTTGACATTAGATATATATTTTAAAGACAAGAAGCACTCAAATAATCATTGCATGATTTATATAATAAGCCCCCACTTCTATACATTCAGAATTCCACTTAATCCTTATAATAGCCCATGAGGTGTGAGCTTGCATTCTCTCTCTGCTATTCATGATGATGATAAAGCTTAGAATGATTAAATAATTTGGCCAGGGTGTCACCACTAAAAGCTGGCAGACTTGAGGCATTTGAACCAGGATTAGTCTGTATCCAGTGCCCACATTCCTATCGTGCCATATTGCCATGATCCTCAAAACACCATAAAAATGTTATTTTCATTGCTTTTATGCTTATTTTCGTAAATGACTGAAGGATGTTTGTTGTCTGTTTTAAATGTACATATCTACATTTAATTCATTACCAAATTGTATATATTTTCACATTTGTGTAACTCTCAAGTTCTTTTATTTCTCATCACCTCATCCTTAGTACCCTGATCCAGTTTTCCCTTTTTATTGACTCAAGTAGTTGTATCAGTTGTCTAAAAGTCTCCATTTTTGCAGTCTCAAGTTCCTTCTCTATGCTGTAGTAGAGGTAAGTTTGAACCCCAGTCTACGTTTGTAACACTTCCCCATTGCTTCTGGGAAGAAGACCTAATTAACTCTATCCTACCTTCAATGCAGTCTTCATTAGGAGTCGCAAACCTGCCTTGCATGTACAGGTGGTTTTATATAGTTGGTTGTTCAGTAAATCTTTGGTGAAGGTATTGAATGAAACTGGCTTCCAAGCCTCTTAATATACTTGCTTTTGCTCATTCCTTCAGCCTCATCTTTTGCTACTCCCTCCCTTGACCTTACACTTTGTAATTAATTTGTTCAGACCCTGAAAGCACAAGGAAAGAATTAGATATCAGAAACACAATACTAAAAACAAGAAAGGTAAGCCCCAGGACCTAGGCAATCTCTTAACACTAGGAGAGCTGAGGCTAGTGACTGGGCAGCTAGGAGGTCCAAAGAAAGAGGTACTTAGGAACAAAACAAGAATGGACACAAAATAAACCAGAATAGACCTAAATCAACAGCTGTAAGGGCTGGCCCTCAAGATCAAAGCATTTTGTCCTATCTTATCCTTAGTGACACTCATATTTCTGGTATCTTTCTTCTTTTATACTTCTCTTAATTTGGGAGAGCTACTCTATAATAAATTAAGTAACTATTATACTATTGTATGTTGTTATGTGCCAGAAAGTCCAGAGACTGGGGATACAACTCCTGAGGGTAATGGGTATTGCCTCCACGAAGCCCACAGGCTATGTAGGTCATCTCAATACAACAGAGCAAAGTCTATACTTGATTTTATGACTATTCAGGGAAGGAGGGGCACTTGGCCAAAGATGAGGTCCCAGAGAAAGAAGTTCATCACATTTTCTATGTGATGTTCATCACATTTTCTATTCATATGTCAACAAGACAACTAAATATCCAGACATTTAGTCTGCATGTTTTCTGGAGGTGTGTGGATGTATTATGGCACATTAATAGTTAAATGAAATTTATTTTAAAAGTTTGCATTTGAATATAAACTCACTGTGCTTACATTGCTTGTCCTGACTAACTGACTGAATATTTTCCAAAGGTCATAGTAGAATTCTTCACTTTGCTTGACAAGCTGAAAACCAAATTCTTGAATGTAAAAGATAGTCTGAGTTTGTCTGTTGTCTAATGCCATTTCACTTACACTTTTTCCGAAGAAATCCATTTTTCCCCAACAAGAAAGCTCTATTTGAAATAAAGTCAGGTGCAGGTTCTGTTACACCAGGAATTGGGTTCTTCCACTTCTTGCCTTTATAATGTCTGTACCATTGTAAAAGGAGAGGGAGGATCCTAAGAGGTGTGGTAAAAATCATGAGTAAATCATCTAGTTCACTCATATTATTGTCCCAGGTTCACTATAAATTCCATCCAGGTATCTTCAGCAATATGCAATAATATCAAAGGGGAAACTATTCAGAAATCACTGTTATAGCTTTTAGGAGCAGCGATGTACCAAGGGTGGAGAGGATGAGGTGGTGGAAGCACCTTACCCCAGGTGTGGGTGATAATTGTATTGACTGTAGAAAATTTAAGGAAATAATTAAATGGAACAAAATCTGGTATTCTTTTTATAATCAGCACTATTCTCATTCTAAACAAGATCAGTGGGCAAATGTTCCTCCCAACCATGTTAGACAATACCCTCTGTGTCATCTCTACCACTACAGCCCCTTCTTGCTATTTATCTCTCTCCTTCTACCCTACTAGGCAAGGGCTGCTGTTACTGGAGCTAGGAAATACTGTGCTCTCCCTCTACTGTTTTCTTTAGAGTGATGTGAATATTGATATTAGATGTTTCAATAATAAACATGGAGCTATATTAAAGGGTGGTATCTTTTAGTAAGCTTCCCCATTAGAATGCCTCTTATCTGATGCCCACTTCTGCTCAAGAAATTGCTTCATAAAATTAGTTATTTTTCCAGGCTTTGTTGGGAGAACTGCCTTGTTGGGGAAGAGGATTCATTTCATGGTCAGGACTGCATGGTAATTAATGAGCAACTCATCCATCCTTAAGAAGCAGGTTTCTCTCTGGGCATAGCAATAGCATTTCTGAAAGCTCAGTTTGCTAACTGACCTGATTTGAATATAATCACAAGCTCTTTGGAAAAGCATGTGTGATTTTGCAATAAATGATATAACAGAAATATAGTCCTGAGTTGATCCTCAAGAAAGAGATGTATTTTAAGACTAATGTAAGTAAAACTTTGTTAAGCACATTTCAGAGGAATAAAAGAATTCCCATTGGAAGAGAAGTAATAAGGGAGAAATAAATGTAAGAAAAAAGAAAGAAACAATTGTAGAAAATTCTTGAGTTATTTTATAGGAAAAAAATGACTTGTATTATATTTGAATTTAAGAAGAAAAAAAATGCAAAATTAAATTCTCTAGAAAAGTGTGGTGGACTTCTTTCTACATTAGAGAATGTTTATTTAAATGATTAAAGATCTAACATGTATAAAGCAGCATGTATCTAAAAACAAATAAAAGAAGTAAACTTTATGTATTGATCCAGTAAGACTATACTGTAATTTGACAGGCAGATTTAATCATCAACCCAGATATTCTTCTGTCTCCACAGTATTCCAAGTATTTCTCCAGCCTCCATGAATCTTTTTTTTAGACCAATATCAACTTTTGTGTTCTTGTATTCTGAAGAATACCACTCCCAATCCTTTGATAGTGTGCAAATACATGAGTTACCAGGAAAGAAAGGTTGAAACTTGAGCAGATTATCAATGGTTACTTTTTGTTCAGATGTAGCAACTATACCAAAAGGAATCCCACAATATCATGTAATCATAGCTGACTATCTAATTCAAGTCTTACATTATTTTGTACATATATGTCTAAAGCTTATTGACATGGAATGATTTAGTCAAAGTAACACAGACATTAAGCAGGAAAAAATCCTAAAGGTTAAGACAAAGCTAGAATATTGATTGTGTGAAATCTCCAGAACTTTGGTCACTTTATACTATGATTTTGTCAAAATTTCTGTACTTTTGATTCATTTGAAACAGAAGTGGGTATCCGTAGCCATTTTTTCTCTTTTTGAATACATAGTTGAATATTTTACATTTAGAATGAGAATGGTGTTTACTTTAGACTTTAAGCATACAGGATACTATAATGTGATAATAAGGTTGAACCTACAAACCACACTTGGTACCCAAATTTGGGTTACCAGTTAATGCAAACCCTTTCTAAACTTCTCACCACTTTAAGATATTTGCACAGACTCCTCAGGTCAGTGAGTTCTAGCCTACATAAACACGGTGATCAAACATAGATTTTTCTATACCCGTAACCAATTTAAATAGAATTTTTAAAAATATCATTAGACCTCCTGTCCATATTATTATAAAGCTTTTTAACAAAATGAATTAAATCAGGAAAAGAATTCCTTTGACAGAATATAGCTTTATTTTCTATTCAAAAAGTTTGGTCTCCAGAAGCAAATGTGATTCATACAGAAAACCCTACCTAGCACCCAGGTTAGTATCACCTGCCCAATATCCAAACATCCCCATGACCATACCATTCTTCCTAAAAGAACTTTGATTTAAAACAATACACAAAGTAAACCCTAGAAAAACTTCCACATGACAGTATGCTCAGAGAAAAGTCTGGCTCTATTCCCAGCCCTAGTGTGACCCCAGATTGATCTAAACTGATCACATTCTTCTTCTTCTCATCAGTGATTGATTTAGACATGACCACAGGAAATGAGACTTAAGAGGAAATCTGTTGGGAGTCATCTGGGAAGGTGCTTCTTCACTCTTAGAAGAGACACATAGGGTAGGTTGAGGCTACTTTTTCTTTCTTGGGATCTTTTCTTTCTTGCCTGGATGTGTTACCTGCAGAGCAAGCACCAGTCCAGAACTCATGCTCTATGGAAAAAGCAGAAGGAAGAGAATGATGGAGATTCCTCACGACACCCTTGATCCTCTAAATTAGCTAGCTCTGTAACTGTTCTTTTAGACATCTTGTTATGTGAGATAAGAAATGTCTTTATAATTTAAGTTGGTTGCAGCTGGAGACATCCAAAATGCTAATGACTAAAATTACATTTGAAATGGCATCTCTCAGCTGTGCCCTTCCTGGATACAAGAAGCCTGAGATAAGAGGTCCAGCTAGTCCCAGGAAAACTCCTTAAGGCCATTATAAAAGGAGGTCAAAGAGTATTTTTTATAACTCTAAAGCCAGCATTTCTTGGGACATCAGTGGCTGAACAAGCCCCATACAAAATGACAGAAGGAGATCAGACATTAGTCTTGAACATGTAATGGGGACTTGAGGCCAACAGAGCAAGAGAATCCAGCAGGAGGGTGAAAAAAGAATTTGCAGTTGGATGGTCCAACTCAGTTCCTCTGCCCACTGGGCACACAGCTAAACTGCATCATTCAGCCTCTCTGGAGTTCCAATTCAGTTGAGGAATGCAAGAAAGGGTGCATGCTATTTTCAATCCAAGCTGTAAAAATGTACCAGGTGTGCTTCTCCAGGTTCTCTTCCCCTGTCAGATGGTTAAGTAGGAATGATTTCAAGAATAACTTTAGAAGTCACTAGTAGGAGGTGGATGAATAACTTTGTAGAACCAAGGCCTCTCTCTTTCCCTGCCAACCAGGAATATCCACAAAGAACGCTAACTGTAAATAAGATATAAACTTTCATTGTTTTTTTAACCACTGAGTTTTAGAGGCTTATTTGTTAATTGCTAGTATTACAGGGTTAATTAATACAGCATATATATAGTTTTGATTAGAAGTGATATGACCACAATGATTAAGTGGGTTAATGCCATCAAAGTTTATACACAAGGAAACTGAGAATCAGAAAATACAGTATCTCAGCCAAAACACCCAGGAAGGAAAATGTGGACTGGCTTAGAACTCAGCTATTCTGTGACTAAGCAAGGGTTCTTGCACACCCTGCAAAAAGACAAACAAATAAATCTCATTTTTGTTTCCAAGGCTTAAAAAACAATATTGACCATATATCAGCAAAGATGAGTCCTGTGTGTACTAAGTAGTTTTGATTATGGTGTTGTTACTAATTGGTTCCTAAATGCACTACTTTTGGCTTTATATTAAGCTTTATTTTAAATTGAATTTGCAAGAATTATCATGTGATTGATGTCCACTAACATTTTGGTGATAATGAGCTCTTTGTACATTGATCTGGAATAGTGCTAACATGTTCCTTCTTCTTAGCCTATAATTTATCTTTTTAATGAATTCCTAATAGAATTTAACATTAGCTTTTCACAATATCAAAATTAAGCAGCCATGCCCTTCTTCCTTCATTTAAATAAATTTTTCAAATAAAAAAATTAATAACTTTTTTATTATAGAAAAGCAATTTGAAAATTATCCATAGAGCCAGGATTTTCAGTGTTGAGAGAGAAGGTTACAATACAAGTAAGCAAGAAGAAGGAGCTATAGTGATCTGTGTGGCAACAGATTAGAGTTGAAGGCATCAGTAATAAAGACATATTGATATTTACTTTACTATAAACTCAGATTTAGTTCAGGATAGTCATAAAATAACTACTTGTAAAGTATGCATGTATACAGAGTTCTACACACCCAGCTTTTAGCTGAGAGAGATTACAAGCAAAAGGATATAATGGCACCAAACACATCTAGCCCTCAGATATGTTTCTAATACTGTTCTCAAAACATCCTTGGAGATATGCTGATTATAGGAAAGGTCCTGGAAAGACACAAGATGAATACCTTTCAACACTAAAAAGTAAGTAATACTTTTTAAAAAGAGAGAAAAATACCCCAGAATAATACAGCCTGTCAAAGCAACACAGGAATCAACCAAAAGAGCTCCCAGTGGGGCTATAGTTGAAATAATTGGAGCAACAACATAGAACTGAATTATAAACCAAAGTAAAAGAAGAAATATGCAAAAGTCTCCATGAATTTTTATCAAAATAAATAAAAGAATGAATGAATAGAGCAGACAAATAGCCTGTGCAGAGTTCCAAATAACTGAGACTTCAGCCTCTAGAAGGAAGGGGGTGGAATCTAGCTGCCCACTTCTTCAGTGGAAACTGCTCACTGTAACTTCCCTCCAAAGTAACAGCATGAAAGAAAGTAAAGAATCAACCTGCAATGAAGAAAGCCTGACCTAAGCAACGCTGCTTCAGGCAGGTGATCAAGTTCATAGGAACCACAGTAAGACACAAGGATAGAGTATACCCCTGAGGTGATTTGATGAAAATGGTACTTCATGTTCTTCCCCCTAAAATTTCTAATCCCAGTATAACCATGAGGGAGATGCCAGATAATTCCCACTTAAGGGAAATTCTGCAAAATATCTGATTATCAGGCCTCAAAGCTGTCAAGGTAATCAAAACCTAGGGAAGTCTGAGAAACTGTCACAGCCTGAATAGGCCTAAGGAAACATCACAACTAAATATAATGTGGTATCCTGGATGGACTCCTGGAATAAATAAAGGGCACAAAGTCAGTAAGTAGTATAGGCTTATAATCCCAGTGACTCTGGAGGCTGAGACAAGAAGATTGCAAGTTCAAGGTCAGCCCCAGCACCTTAATGAGAACCTAAACAGCTTAGCAACACCCTGTCTCAAAATAAAACATTAAAAGTTCTAGGGATGTAGCTCAGAAAGGACCCCTAGATTCATCCCTAGTAAAACACACACACACACACACACACACACACACACACACAAAGAGAGAGAAAAAAGAAAAAGGACATGAGATAGAAACTAAGAAAATCTGAATACATTATGAACTTCATTTCATAATAATGTATCAATATTGCTTCATTAATTATAATAAATATACCATATTAATGAATGATATTAATAGGGAAAACTGGATACAGTTATAAAGGAACTTTCTGTACCACCTGCAAATTTTCTATAACTAAAACTAAAAGTGTTCTAAAACAAAAGAGTTTTTATAAATCTTTTTTATTAGATGATGGGATCATCATCTAATAATAAACAGAAACATCTTAATACAGACTTCATCATTTTTTCTATGTATACTTTTATTTTTCAAGGTAGTTTCATACTGTATATACTTTTTCACTTAACATTTAACAAATGTATTTCCATGCATTATGATTCTAAAACATAATTTGTGTTTACCTCATAGTAGTTCATCTCAGAAACACACCATACATTATTTCGTCAATCATATTTTGGTTTCTTTGTTCTTTCCTAATTCTATTGAATTTATTGGAGGAGGAAGCAAGGGAAATGAAGAGTAATAAAAGATGACATCATTCGGACATTAGTTTATTGGCAAGATGCGAGGAGTAGGCCTATCCATTGCTACCAAAGGAAACACATGGGCTGAGAAAGAAAACACCCATATACCATCCCAGCTTCACAAATAACTGAGTGTGACCTTGAAATCAATCTCTACAATGCCTAGTGTCCTTATGTATAAAATGGACTGAAAGGCACTGGATAATTTATTCAACAGTGTCCATTCCTAAAATTTCTTGTAGCATATTTTGTAAAAAGACAATTTCTTAGAAAATTTGATATAAAAGCTATGGCCAAGTATGCTTAATGTAATACAGAGGCTGCAGAAAATGGATAACAGATAACACTTTGTCTGTGCTGTATACCCAAAAGTTTCTGATCATGTGGCACTACTGGAACACATTTTCTGAAATTATATGAAAATCTAACAGTTGGATACAAAGGGAACATCGCATTAATGGAGAAAGACTACTGTATGAATGTTGCAAGGACACTGTGTTCATCTGAACACAAGGAGAGGCCGTCTAACAATTGAGCGGGCTTCCTAGAAAAATTGCTGAGTTCTTAGATGTGGAAAATGTTGTTGCATTGGTGGATGCAGAACCGTCAAGGATATTACAAAGCTATTCCTGCACTCAGTAACAATTCAAATTGAATGGTCACCAAGGTCACTTTCAATTTTAAAAGGCTAGAAATTTTTCTGTAATCTTATTTATGACACCATCCTTTAGACTCTTGTCCTTAAACAGCATCCCTATTTCTGAGTTCTCTGCTGTCTCACTGATTTCTTAACTGAAGAATCAATTCCACCACAAAAAAATAAAAGGCATCGATTTAGAGGATGAGTTCTTCAGCTTGTTTGTATGCATAGATGGGTACCTTTCTAAGCATCTAATGAAAAATTGGTCCTTTTGCTCTTAAAAAAGTGCATAAAACATCTCTCCCAATTCCATCTTCTCTATGAAGTCACTCCAAAGAGAATGGGAACTTTGAAAAGCCGATCTCCAATTCACAAACTTCTGAATTTGTCCTCAAGATTTCTTCATATTTTTTTTCTACAACATAACTTGTGAATGCCCCATTAAATGAAAAATAAATAAATAAAAATAATATAAACGGACACTAATGTTTGAAATTGATCTGATCTGAAGGAAAGAGTTCCTGACCTTCACACTTTAAGGTGCTCAGGGAGACATTGTGGGTGGTTTTTTTCCCCCCCATATGGTGAAGGAGACTCATTGTTTTCCACAGGGACTATAGTGTGTTTACCTGTTTTCTACCTAGCTCTCTTTCTTAGGCAAAACTACCTGACCTGTTTGTTTCTTGAATTCCACTCAGGAGAAAATGAATCTAAACTACATAGCTTGAAACAGTTCCAATGGTAGGGAAACTTGGGCGAGGGGCTTGAAACCAACATTAAGAACTTTCTGTTCTTAAACCTCAAGAGTAGAGGAAGTGAGTGTGTAAGAAACCACATTTGCCTGTAGATCTTCACTTTGAGAAAACACACACACACACACACACACACACACACACACCCTAAAGCACAAGACACTTCTATTGGCAAATGCCTCCTCTCTAACATCCAAAGGAAGGAAGGCATCCTGTAAGCCCCGAAGCAGCACAGAGAATAAAGGGGGTCTCTGGCAGCCCCCAGCTGCAGTGGACTGGTATTGAAAGAAAATCCCTTGCCTGCTTTGTGGGATGTTAAAATTGCAGCATCATCCTCTACTGCTCCTTTTCTTTGGCCAAAAGGCAGAATTGGAGGGCACAAGGAAACTGGTGGGACAAGAAGGCTGCCTCCTCAAGCCCTGGAGCTCCCTCCCTCCACGCCCCACTCCTGCTTAGATTCTAATTGCCCCTGTTCCAATGGGCCAGCAGCACCTTCACCCATTTCCTCTTCCATTCACTCCAGCGGAGAAGGAAGAGGGAAAACAAAACTCTAAAAATAACTGTCAGCATCTTAAAAAAAGAAAAGCTTAGCTGCCCCCTTTCCCCATCTACTCCCGCCCTTCTCTTCTCCCTCCCCCCGCCCCCCTCCCCCTCCACGGGGCACATGTCTGCTTCTTACAACACCGAGGCACATGGTTCCAGTTAGGCACCGAACCCCATCAGGACAGAGAGGAAATCCACATCTGTGGGACGCTCCGCACAGAACCACCTCCAGCGAGGGAGGCCGGGGGACTGCAGCACCGAGATGAAGGGCTAGACCAAGGGAACGCGGCTCATGCGGTGAGAGGCAGCGCGGGAGGCAGCGAGGGCGCGGGGAGGCCGGGGAGGGGGTGGGCCCCGCCGCGCCCCCGCAGCGCCCGCCGCCCGCCCCCACGTGCGCTGTCGATATTTGCCCGCCTTGCTGCAACTTGCTGCAGTGTTTGAAAGAGTAGTAGGAGCGCATGGAGGTGGGGCCGGGGAAAGACCAGGCGGAGCGGTTGGGGGGCGAGCGCAGAGGGGGTGGGGAGGCGGCAGCGGTGGGAAGGGGGGTGGCCCCGAGGGGATGGGATGGGATGGGGGAGAGCGGGATAGCCCGGCGCTTACACGTGTCACATGTGCTTTTTAAGACGGCCGGGAGTGCCTGCGAGCTGGATCTGGTGGAGGATGCTGCGGCAGGTGCTTCGCAGAGGGCTCCAGTCGTTCTGCCACAGGCTGGGCTTGTGCGTGAGCCGGCACCCGGTCTTTTTCCTCACCGTGCCCGCAGTCCTGACCATCACCTTCGGCCTCAGCGCGCTCAACCGCTTCCAGCCCGAGGGCGACCTGGAGCGCCTGGTCGCTCCCAGCCACAGCCTGGCCAAGATCGAGCGCAGCCTGGCCAGCAGCCTTTTCCCCCTGGACCAGTCCAAAAGCCAGCTCTATTCGGACTTACACACCCCTGGGAGGTATGGTAGGGTGATCCTCCTCTCCCCACCCGGGGACAATATTTTGCTTCAGGCTGAGGGGATCCTGCAGACCCACCGAGCCGTGCTGGAAATGAAGGTGAACCACAAGGGCTATAATTATACTTTTTCCCATCTGTGTGTGTTGAGAAATCAGGATAAGAAATGCGTGCTGGATGATATTATTTCAGTGCTAGAGGATCTCAGGCAGGCTGCCGTCTCCAATAAGACAACAGCCAGGGTGCAAGTGAGGTATCCCAACACTAAATTAAAGGTATGCTCCTCCTGCATGCTTCTGCCAATTAAAGAGGCAGCACTTCATTTCTTGCCCTAAACAAGCAAAGAAAATGCAGAGGTCTCATCCTTAAGACTCAGAAGCTGATGCTTCTTTCATTTTGGGGTGGTGGTGGGGGAGATGGGTAACTGAGAGAAGAAAACAGGCAATGAATGGTACAACTAGATACTAAGAAATTCAAAGCCAAATCAAACAAATGCCAAAAAAAAAAGAAAGAAAAAAAAAGAAAAAAGTTTCTGAGACCCTGCAATTACATCTTTGTTCAGGGTTAATAAATCAGTGAATGGAAGGGGGAGGGGGAATCCTGATCAATTGGGGGATTTCTTTTCATTATGGGGCTCAATGTATTTCTTATTACTGATTACACATCCACCTGGTGCCATATCCACCTGACATCTTCAGCCTGGCTTGATTTTGACATGTATGGAGTTTGTATTTTGGTGCCCTGTGAGCATGTGTCTGAGAGCAGTGGGTTATGGATATAGTAAGGCTTCCAGGAATTGTGCTGTGTGTGTATGTGTGTGTGTTTGAATAGCAAAAGAAGCAGAAAAATTCAATATATATAAAATAGGGATGTACACCTAACTGATGACTTCATTTACCTAGTCCTGCTTTATTCCTTTCCCATAAAATAAATCCATACCAAAGCATGGTTATTATAACAGCCCTATAACAAATGGAAAGGAAAAATTCTATAATCAGCAAAAATTACAAAAAAAATCATTATTTCAGCATTAAATATACCGTGTTCTTTGGACTCTCAATTCAAATTTTATTGCTCACATGAGGTTTCTAAACTCATTCTACACTGTCAGGACTGAGTTGCTGCAGGCAATGAGGCATGCAGTCTCCAGGTGACTGAAGTTTCAGGGACAAATGTGACTTCTAGAGGAGTCACTGCACCATTCATGTGCTTGACCCTGTGCATACTCAGAAGATGCACAATCAAGAACTCCCAAGACAGGTGTTCCCCAAGAGGAAAGAATGTGCTTTCTGCTAATGTGTATGAGGATGTGTGCATGCTTCCATGGAGAAAATGGAATAGGAAGGCCCCCCAGCTTCAGTAAATTAGAAAATCATTAATATACTTATTAATTTGTTTAATATAGTTAGCTTGTGTGTACATTTAAAAATAACTTTCTCAAGATTTTTGAGTGAAAAATATCCTCCTTTTCCTGAATAAAGGAGGGCTTAGTTAGGGATTCCTCAGGAAACCTCATAACTTGCCTCCTTTTAACATGGCATCTTGTTTGAATGGATCCAGAGGATGAGAAGGATCTCAGTTTTACAAAGTTGAGCAGTCCCTTGAGGTTTAGTGAAATTGGGCAGATGATTCATTTGCTTTAAATCTCAGTAGAGGGTTTGCCTACTTCATACTTATTGATGGGAGCATGTTGGGTATGTGTGGTTGGGCAGCATGCTTTTCCTTTCCTGAATCCTTTGCCATAACCATTATTGCTTGCTAAAGAAAAGATGTGGTGGAGAGGTAATTTCCCCAGCCTATTTTAACTGAGTTCTTCCTTATTCCAGTCATCTGGAGTAAAGAAAAATTTGCAACTGTGTCATATTTAAATTTCAATTTGTCTTTCCTATTGAGTCAATTTTGTAGTTTATTAATATGTGGTATTAGTAGGTCTCAATCACCTCTATTAAGCAGTGAGAAAAGGTGAAAACAGGTGAAAAGACTGTGACCAATCGGCAACTATGGATATTTTGTTTATCTGGCAATATCATTTTGACATTTACAATACAAAACCCTTGGGGGTAGTTATTTTACTTATCTAGTGATCATTGGTTGTGCTCATATGGTTTATTATGTGCTCTTCAAGGCACATGAGACAAACTTAGGACAAGAAAAGCAAACTTCTTATCTTTGGGGGTTTAAAAGTAGTAGATGCCAGCATCCTCACCCAGAGTTACCTGTTAGTGGGGACTCTACAATCATTGGGTACACCACTGAGCTGACATGATACTAGACCCATAATATGTGTTCCATGTAAACTTTTTGACTGATTGTTTGCTTAATATACATATGGATAGTAGTCAGTGGATAATCATAAAGAAATGGAATAATTGATTACAAAGGCTAATGTAGTAATAGTATAATTATTTTATTAACCATAAAATGAACAGAAGAATTACAGAAAGACTAAAAGTCCTTATTATGTTGTATTCTAATATCAGTGTTTCCTCAAAGGTGTTGGTTTGACTCTGTATGCATGTCATCTCTGGGAGTCCTTAAGCTGTATTTGGGTCAATGAGCCCTTTGAGATCTTCTGAGAGCAATGGGCTCTCTCAAGACCAGACAATCTCACACATGCTCATGCAGTATAAAAAAAAAAATTCATAAGTATCATGAGTGACTAGAATTCTGCCAAAGGCACTTCAAGGGCTCCCAGGATCAGAACTCACTAGCACAGAGTGAAATGAGAGGCCTTTTGGTTTTATAAGTGTTATTTGGAAATGATTTAATTCATGTGTGGCAGTGGTTGTCAAAGTGTGTCTCTGTGATGCTGATGCATGCTAAAGTCCAATAACTACACCTATAGGGGATGCAAGATAATATTTTATATGTACATTTTCTAGCTCTCTAATTCATTTACTTTTTCTACCATCCATGGGTTACTGCTCTTCCCTACTCTGTTTAATATGGAAAATTCTAGTGCTGAAAAATTCTGTTGGTGGGCAAGGATCGGGAGTTGAGGGAAATTGTAGAATAAATATCAGTGTCCTGGATAATGTAAGAACTGAAAATCATTTGATATGATAGAAGCAGTAGGTCAGTGCTAGAAGATAGTCTGAAGATGTGTAAGCACTGATTGACAGAAAGAAGTAGTCAGAAATCTGAGTTATGACAATCAGTTCATCTTCTAAGTACTGTTAAGACATACACTTAGTCCTGAGCAGAGAAAGGTTTAGAACTTCTGATAAACATGATTATATTGACAAGGTGATCTAGCCAAGCAGGGACACAGAAAGTTGTCTTCTATGGAAATCAAATAGTGACTTAGATTGGGAAAAAAAAAAAAAAGCAGTTGGCATAGAATGCCATAGAAGAAAGGAAGCACTCTCAAGTTTTCCAAAGCTATATAAAAAGTATGCCAAAATCTGAAATCAGTTCACCTAATAATAGTATTCTACAAACTGCTCTTCATTATAATCTTTATGTTAAATCTTTGATGAAGCCTAAGGGCCATGTCTTATATTGCTTTTGTACCATCACTTCTCCCAATCCAACCTCTTGCATGTCTATGTAGATAGTGTCCATGACAAACACTCATTACCTAGTTTATTGGTTAATTTGTGCCTATATTCTGCAATATCACAAAACTATGACTGCTTTTGAACCTCTGTGACATGCTTTTATTTTAAAGATTTCTGTACAGTGATTTTATAACCTCAATAACACACACACACACACACACACACACACACACACACACACACACTAATGCAATATGGCCAGGTTAAATTTTTAAGTAAAACGCTTAATATAGTGTTGAAACTAGCTTCTAATATTTAAAGTGGGATAGGATATTAATGTGGAACAGGTCCTCAAGACTGGTAAACAAGGACTGTTCTAGCACCAAGAAATGTTTTATCGTTCAAACAACTCAGATGACTGTGAGTAATATTACCCTGATTTTTAGGTAGGCATCATAACCTTACTTGTCAACCTAGTTAGTTCCATGAATGTAGCATTCTCATATGTCCCCAGTTCTTTATACTGAAAGGCATAAATAAAAATGAAACAGACAAATGTGGTCCTTGGAAATGGGTTTTTAGCTAGTCTAGATTCCAACCTCCTGGCAGACAGAGAAAAAAGAATGCAGCAGATTTGACTTCCCTGAAGTCACACTTCCTATTAAATTCCACCAGTAGACACATTCCACTAGTAGATACGCCTCTGAACAGATGTGTAAGGGAAGTCACTGTGTACATCAGTGTACCATGTCTGAGAATAGGAACAAAAATAGTCCCTGCTTCTTAATAGAAGATGTTGTTTCTTTGGGTAAATTTTGGGTGCATCCTCAGTGTTTGGAAGATATTGCAGTGAACTGCTTGTTTCTAATTTCAATAGAAAGGCAATTGGCCAACATGAAAAAATCAGGACCTGCATTTTTTTAAAGACTTCCAAGGAAAGCTACTTTATATTTTTTTTCCTTAATTCATTCTACAACCCTATGAGATATAGATATTAGGACCTTCTCTGATATTTCGATTTAAGCTTATCTTTCTGATTCTACCTCTTAATAGGAGAAAACATGTAACCTTATTAAATATTCAATTTGTATTCTAAGTGGTGTTTTGGTATTTCATCTAATATATAGATGAAATGTATATATGGTATTTCATCTAATACTTAGAATTGTGAGTCAAGGGGAATATTTGAATTCTTGTTTTATAGGTAAAGACCAAGAAAGTTAAATGATTAACATGAGGTCCCCATACCAGTACATATTGGAGGTGGGATTTAAATTCAGTTCTATCTGATACCAAGACTTAT